CCAGCCTCTAGAGCTATGAGAAATAAATGTCTGTTGTTTATACCACTCAGTCTGTGATATTTTGTTATAGCAGCCTGAGAAGACTAATATAGTGACTTTCTTCAGAATCCAATCCTGAAGTCAGACGTGGCTCATATGCCCTAAACAGGGGGCTTTTCTTTCCTAGTATATGCTTTGAGTGTCGTGTTCCTGAAGGAGAGCTGAAGGAGGAAAACTTGAGATTATTTATAGTGCATCCTTTACTATTCCTTCCCCAGGCTTCTGTGTAGAGATGGTAATCACCAATAAAACAAACCTTGGAGAAGTGTTTCATTCTTAAAAGGGCATAGTATTGGGGGTCACCTAAATCTGAGATCCAAACTCATGCAGCCTGTTAGTATCTTTGTGACTCAAATGATCTTTCTGAGCCTTGGTTTCCTCAGCTGTAAAATACAGAAAATTGTACTGCTTAGGTCCAACAAGGTATGGACAGCTGTATAAAACTATGATTGGACAAAAGATGTATGATCTAATGCTAATAGACCGAGTGGGGAAACCCAGCAAGTCCCATGTCTCTACATTCTCCCTGGCCCCTCTGAGCATGTGTTCCTTCCTTCTGGGTATAAGGCAGGACCCTCTCTGGAATGGGTCTTATGACCTACAGTCAAACAAGGTGGGTCAGATATTAATGATTTCTTTATGGTCAGTTTTTACACAGATGGGGTGGAGGGAAAGTTAGAGTAATATTTTAAGGTTTTATGACTGACCTTGGAGAAAAGGAGTGCTGGTTTCTCTAACCCACCTTGGGGAAGAGGGATTCTAGTTTCTATGGCCAGACTCAAAAGAGAATAGGACTGAGAGATAAGAGGGCATAAGACAGAGAGAAAGTTTTGCTTCTGAGGCTATTTCTGAAGTCTTCATTTTGAGATATTGTTTTTAAAACCCCAACACTACCCAACATGTTTCATGAAGCGGTTGATTTCTATTCTGACCCAAGCTTCTTTTCTTTCCCCATACTGGTACTAAACAGTTGCCCCATCTTCAGAGCACACTTTGACCACCTCTGATCCAGCAGTCTGTGTTAAAAGTCTAGGAGTCTGATGCTTGGGGGAGACTCTTCTCCTTGTATTAGAACACTTTATGGCTCTTTCATAGGGAATCTGACATAATGTCAGGACAAATCAGTTTATTAACCCGATTTCACACTTTTTGTATCCCCATCAAATGCAATAACTTAGCATACATATGGCCTGCTTGAAGATGAGCATCTTGTATAGTTTGAATGATCCTGAGCTGGAAACTGTTGTTTCTCATCACCATCCTCAGTGGAGATGGTGGCAGTAGGTTTTCCCTGCCTTTTAGCAGTTCTTAATCTTATTTTTGTGTCACAGATCCCTTTGGCAGACAGTGATATCTATGGACCATTTCTCAGAATGTTATTTTTAATTGTATAAAATAAAAACTGTAAGTTAAGAAAGGAAACCAATTATACTGAAATATGCTTATCGAAATATTGTGACAGTAATATATGTGCCCAATTATTAACACATCAAACAAGATCTAGTAGCATGTCTACGAGCCACTGTTATCTTGAAGAAGTGGTGAACATAAGTAAAACTTTGACATCTATGGCAACTCTAGTGGGTTATGAAAATCTTTTTTCATACTCGACAATGACACAGGTACTGCTAACACTACTGTGTTGGTTACATTATAATAGAAGGAAACAGAAGAATTTCAGTTAGAAATTGATGAAAACGAGTATGTACTTTTTACTTATTCAAGTTCAAGAACCCCCTGCATTCTCTGGTTCGGAATCCCTGCCTTGGGCATACCCAGTGAGAGAAAAGTTGGTGGGGGCCGTGGAGAGGGGTGCGTTCTGAAGCTTTTTACTACTTTTCCTGGGACAGATATTTTGAGCTTGTAACACAATCCAATGACAATTTCAGTCCCCAGTGAAATTTTATTGTAATTTCCTTTTGCTTTATTTGGAATACACAGAAGCAAGTTTTGCTCCTAACTTGCTTGTAGAGGCCTACAGTTCACTAAAGATTTAAACAAAGGTACATCAGGCATCATAAGATATTCACTTTCTCCCAGTTCAGTTAAGTCTATCTAATATATTTGCAGGAAAAGTTCTTGTTTGCAAAGATGCTCGTAGTCTAATGGTCACATCTATTCCCATGAGGAGGAAAATTTGCTACATGAGGAAGCTAGAGGATTTGGGACCCCTTTCTGGGAGTTGTATTGAAGAAGTTCCAAACAGCCCAAGAAAGAAAAGGATCTTTGTGAATCGGAAAGGTCTTCTTAGAGGAGGGAGCAGAAGCAGAGCTTAAAATTGAAATATTTAGTTAGGTAAGAATTGGGAGGTCAATGGGAGTAATGGGATCAGGTAGCTTTGGTCCAAGTGTAGGTATGACAGAATAAGAGCCTGTAAAGTTTAGAGACAGCTATGATGAACCTTCACTGATATACCAGAGGGGTGGGATAGTATTGGCAGAGAGGAGTCATTGAAGTATTTTAATAAGAATGAGATAAAGAGATTCCTGATTTCAGAATACTCGCAGGACTGGAATGTATTAAATGAATTATGGTGTTGGGGATGGGGAGATAATACAGTGTTTCTCTATTTATGGTCAGGTTACATACTGATAAACTCAAAATATTTTTAAGTAGAAAGTGCATTTTTGGCATATGATATTTTCAATTTACTATGGGTTTATTTGGACATAGCCCATGGCAGATCAAGGAGCATGCTTTCACACCATCATAAAGTCAAAAAGTTCTAAGTCAAACCATCTTCAGTCAGGGACCATCTATATGGACAGTAGTTTTACCATCAGACTGCATGGAGAAAATTATACCTATTTTTCCTACCCTAGTATTTCCTTTAATTGCCTAATGATAAGGTTCATCTAGAGAACTTATTAATTATGCAGAATACCAGATTCTTTCCTGCAAATTACAATTGCAGTAGGTCTGAGATTCAGATGAAAATTGGTGATTTTTGAAACAACTCTATATGATTTTTATCTTCTACAAGTTGAAAAATTCTCCATAGGAATGTTTGGCTGATCAGGTCTGACATTGCATGTGAGAATATCAAAGTAGAAACTGATGTAGACAAAGTGTAATTAATTAAATTTAATTAATTAATTTTTCTTTCCTTTTCAACTTTTATTTTAGAATCAGGAAGTACCTGTGCAGGTTTGTTACAGAAGTATATTGCATGATACTGAGGTTTGGATTATGATGGAACTCATTATCTTGGTAAAGAGCTAAGTACCAAATAGGTAGTTTTTCAGCCCTTGCCCTCCTTGCCCTTCCTTGCCATCTTTTAAATGTGTCCTTTCTTTCATTCATAATATGTTAAGCCAACAAATAGTTTGAAGGACCACAAAAGAAATATAAGTTGGCTATGAGAGGGTAGTAAGAAACTCCAGCAGCGCTATAAAACACCACATGTAAGTCTTTATGGCACTGTATTTTCCAATTAGAAATAATAGTTATTATAAATTACGTTTTTTCACAGCCCTAAGTATTTATGTAACATGCACAAAAATGTAAATTAAAATTCTCCAAAATAATGGCAGTAGAAATTATGGCAGCAAATGCAAAGACTGAAAAGTCAAGATAAACAAAATTAAATTAACCATTGAGGCTTCAATGTGTTTATTTCATATATATATATGTGACTATATATATCTGCTTATGAATTCTATTAATGAATAGATGCATTTTAAAATAGCTGTTATTTACTTTTCCTGAGAACGACTGTTTGAATTTTACAAGGAGAAATAAAAAGGTGATTTTTTTTAAAAAATGTGAATATTGTATTTCTTTACTTTCGAGTTTTATTTTAGACACAGGGAGTACATATGCAGGTTTGTTACGGGGGATAATGCACCTAGGTAATGAGCATTGTACCCAATAGGTAGTTTTTCAACCCATTTCCCCCCATCCCAGTAGCCCCCAGTGTCTATTGTTGCCATCTTTCTGTCCATGTGTAGCCAGGGTTTAGCTCCCACATAAGTAAGAACATGCAGTATTTGGTTTTCTTTTTCCGTGTTAGTTCACTTCAGATAACGGCTTCCAACTGCATCCATGTCACCGCAAAAGAGATGATTTAGGTCTTTTTATGGCTGCATAGTATTCCATGGTGCATACTTACACACTGTTGGTGAGAATGTAAATTAGTCCAGTCACTGTCGAGAGGAGTTTGGAGATTTCCCATTGATAGAAATGGAATTTCCAATTGGTCAGCAATTGGAGGTGCTGCTCAATGAGTCAAGCCAACACGATAACACGTAACTCTTCAGTTCCTTTGGTAGAAATGGTACCCTGTAGTCAGCATTGGTAGTACATGAGAGTCAGGGAAAACAGCAGGGCTTGTGGAAGCTTCCTCTGGAGAGTGGTCTCTTCTGATAGAACGTTGCAGACCACCCCTGGGCTGTCACTCATGATTAGCATCTTGTGTGGGCTCCATCTCTCTATCTCTCTCTCTCTCTCACACACACACACACACACACACACCCTGTATATATACTACTGAAGTAATTTAGAAGAAGTTACAGGCATTTTAGCAGTGGGATTTTATGAAAAACTGATTACCATTTAGCACAAGTTGCATTAGAAATTTATCAGAAAACTTGAATGAAGAGGTCAAGGCTTTGGGGAGTCACTGTGGGAATGGTATATGAAGAGGTGTCAGCTGAAACCACGGAGTGGATGAGCTTTTCAAAACATTACTGGGTATGTATGGCATTAATATATCATACCTTTTCTTTCAAGAGTGTGTGTAAAGAAGGAAGAATGGAGTTCTAAAAACTCAGAGTCTTCTTAATCCTGCTTCAGAGAGGTTTATGATGCTAAGGACTGTCAAATGTACAGTTGATTTTCTCCTGGAACCCCTGGCAGAGGAGAGCCTCAGTAGAGTGGTCTGGGGGAGTCAGATGCAAGGTTTCACAGTGAGTGGGAGAAAAGGTACTGGGAGTACAGATGCAGTCTGACTTTGAAAAAAGTGAGACGTGGAGGGAGAGTAGAAAAGAATCACCAGATAAAGTTACTGACAATAGATGCCACTAATATGTTTCATTTTTTCCAATTACTTTTTTAGTGATCAGAAATGAGTGACCGATCAGAGAAAAACAATTCCATTCAAGAGGGACACACAGATCATAGTTTTCCTGAGAAGAACTGTCAAATTGGACAGAAACAACTGGTATGGCACACAGATGTTATGATTCCATGCTACTGGGGAGTGCTGCCTCGAGGATCTCTGAGATGCCCATGGATGTAGGTGGGAAGGTGGGCCCAGGCAGGGCTTCACGGGGAGGAGCTCTGCCGCCCAGGCTGATAGAGCTTTCCCTCCACCCCACTGCTCAGTGCGGGTTGCTTTCGCCTCACCTATCTCCTCTCCACCTCCTGTGTACCCTGATTTTTAGCCCAGCATTCTGTACAGTAAAATTCTGCTTTTTATGGGGAATATATACAAATGTTTTTATTTAATGAATCTTTATTTTGTTCTTATTATGTCATGTTATGGCTCTAAAACTGTATGTATTAACTCATCTAATCCTTTTCACACCATACTATTCTTAACTGTGTTTTACAAAGGGAGAAACTGGGGCCTAGAGACATAGGAATTTGCTCAAGGCCCACCGCTAGTACGTGGCAGAGCCAAGGCTTGAGCACAGGCAGGTGACCCTGCGTCTCTATTCTTAACCTTGCTGTGGAACTTAGAATAGTAATCGATGGTACTAAGTTGTACATATTTCATAACTATACCTAATGCAGAACAGTTTAAGTTTATGAAACAAACCCATATACAGATACCAAGATGAAATTTAAAAGAAACATTGTATTATTTTAGACTGGCTAGACTGGTATTAAACTAAATAAACTGCAGAAAAGCCCATGACATTCTGTTACTAATTTGTTACATTGAAATTCCTATATTGAAAGGTTCCCTTTTGTTTCCAGGTGGAGTATTTCATGTATATGTCAGCCTATATGTTTTTGTGCTTCTGAGATTATTTTCTTCTATAATCCTTCAAAAGAGCATTTTCTTCCCTCATGGCATGTGCTACATGTTCACAATTAGTTATCAGTACAATATTCGATTGAAGCATTTTGTTGTTTGTCTTCCAGCTCAGGCCCCATTTAATTTCTAATTGTCTTTCAGCTCAGGCTCCATTTAATTTCTAATTACAGTGGCTCACACCTGTAATCCCAGCGCTTTGAGAGGCCAAGGTAGATCCCTTGAGCCCAGGAATTCAAGGCCAGCCTGGGCAATGTGGTGAAACCCCATCTGTACTGCATATGTACACAAAAATTAGCCAAGCATTGTGGTGCATCCTGTAGTCCCACCCACATGGGAGGCTGAGGTGGGAGGATCACTTGAGCCCGGGGGGAATGAGGCTGCAGTGAGCCATGATCATGCCATAGCTCTCCAGCCTGGGTGACAGAGCAAGACCCTATCTCAAAAAAAAAAAAAAAAAAAAAAATCTCCAGAGACTTTTGAAAATGTCCCCCTATGCCCTAGAAAGTCATCCTAGCAATATTTCTCTTGTTCCAATCTGGCTTTGACTGAAAGTCAATCCTTCAGGTGGCTGAGTTCTGAATGGGAGCCCCACGTGGAGGCCAGTCCTGGGTAGCGAGTAGCTCCGAAATGCATCCCAGGGCACTGAAGGGGAGTGCTGGATCTACTCTGGGTTCTCAGTGTGGTTTGAGACACTACATGGGCTTCTTTAGCTAACAGCTGAGGAAGGGCCTCTACTCCTTTGTCCTTACCCACATCAAATGCTAATTCTGATGTGCATCCCCATCAAACTTGGAAAGCTGAGTGCCGTTTTGCAGTTTTAAAGAGAATTCGTCTATTCCCCTGGATTGTTTTTCACATTTTATTTTATGAGTGTTATACTATTTCTTTATTCAGAAAGAATGGCCCAACTTGAGAAAACTTACATCATCTTTTGAAACTTAATTAGATTAAACTGTTTATTTCTTTGTGTAAAACACATATACTTTCATGCCATTATGGTGAAGGTTACAGAAAGTTCATTTTGGGGAAAAGTAAAACATAAAACTATCTGGTTCTTACTACTAATACATTTTATTTGTTTAATAGCAACAAATAGAGAGGCAGTTAAAATGCTTGGCATTTCAAAACCCTGGACCACAGGTAGCAGACTTTAATCCTGAAACAAGGCAGCAGAAAAAGAAAGCCCGGATGTCAAAGATGAATGAATATTTTTCTACAAAATACAAGTAAGATTCTGACTTATTATATTTGATATGTGGGATTATGAAATGCACGAGTTCTCCTTGACAAAGCAATTAAAGGTTCCCTCTTTTTATAATATAGTATTTAAAAATATCTCTTCTAAAATATAATAGTACCCATGTGTCTGGTCGTTAACAACCTTAAGAAACAGAAAAATAGACTATAATCCCAATTTAGGAATCAATTTTTTCAAAAAGGCTTCAATAGCCCTGTAATAGAGTAATGGCTTTAGTAGGAAAGATGATTTAAAAGTAAGGAAGATGTATCATTAGAAGGATAAATAATACAACCATGAGAATGAATTTGGGATATCAAATGGGCACAGCACTTTCATCAAGTGCAATGATTGTTAGCACATCGTAAGTATAAACTAAGCAAACTGGCTGGGCACGGTGGCTCACACCTATAATTCCAGCACTTTGGGAGGCCAAAGTGGGTGGATCACTAGGTCAGGAGATCCAGACCATCCTGGCTAACATGGTGAAACCCCATCTCTACTAAAAATACAAAAAATTAGCTGGGCATGGTGGCACGTGCCTGTAATCCCAGCTACTTGGGAGGCTGAGGCAGGAGAATCGCTTGAACCTGAGAGGAGGCGGAGGTTGCAGTGAGCGGAGACCACACCACTGCACTCCAGCCTGGGTGACAGAGCAAGACTGCATCTCAAAAAAAAATAATAATAATTAATTAATTAATAATAATAAACTAAGCAAACTATAAAGGTAAAGGATAAATTTGACTATATTAAAATTAATATGCCCATTAAAACTCCATAAAAACACTGAAAGACACATCATAAAGTAGAAGTTATTTATAATATAAAAAATCAGTATCCAAAATATATGAAGAATCTTACAAGTCAAAAAGAAAAGTATAAATATCCTAATAGAAAAATTAATAAACTGATAAACGCATTTCATAGAAGAAACAACAAATAAACATTCAGGATATAGAACCTCATCAGCACATGCAGAGAAGTGCCATACACCCCAGGGAGTCAGAATTTAGTCTGTCGACATCAAAGCTGATGAAGCTATGGGATATAAATTAAGGGTAAAAAGCTACAACCACTATTTAAAAACAGCTTAGTGTTACCTATGTGCCTTATGACCTAACATCTTCACTCCTGAGTATATATTAATATCTTGGAAAAAAGTCTAATACACGTATAGGGAAATACGTTGAAGAAGTTTCATGGCATCACCGAAATAGCAAAGAAAATAAACTGTTAATAATCCAAATGTCCATCAGCAATGGAAAAGATAAATAACTTGTGGCATATTTATACAGTAGAATACATATAGAAGTGAAAATATTTGAACAGCTACATGTACCATCATGGAAGAATCTCAACTCATGACCAGAATAACAAAGAAAATTACAAAAGAAAAATCACAATATGTTTAGGGACACCTACATATGTGTCATAACTAAGAGCAAAACAAGGAAGTGACTTTTATAACATCAAGGTACAGTTCCTTTCTGAGGGGAGGGTAGAGGGATGCAATGGGTGGGGAATGAAGAGGACTTCACAGCTGTAACACTCTTTTGTTAAGCTGGACAGTGGGCACACCGGTTTGTTTTATTCTTCTTTATCTATGCATGTAGTGTATATATTTTGCAAACTTTGATGTGTATAATTCAAGATTTTACCAAAAAAAAAAAAAAAAAGCATCAAATAGGCAGGAAACCATAAAACCTTACCAACACAGGAGAATATTTGAGTTAAGGCAAAGGGAGGACAGAATCTGACCTGTGCTCTAGGTTAGTTTCAGGACCATCTACTCCATCATTCTTATAATAGATTTAAAATATCCTCTTCTGCCAAATTTCCTGGGGGGTGCTGAGGAAGAGTTTCATTCCACAAATAAAGCACTTCAAATGTGAATCTTCATTAGAAGGCGTTCTTGCTAAAACATGATCATCAGGCAGCAAGTACACATAATGACTAATCAATCCTTTCCCTTCCCTGCATTCTTAGGAAAGGGAAGAGGATGGAACGATATTACTTAGCTGAATAGAAGGAGTGGAGGTATTGTGCCTGCTTGGGGACAAAGGGTTCAGGAGTATCATATATAATTTTGTCATACTAGCTTGGGACCACCAGTCATTTGGACTCCAGTGGTAATAATGGCTAAAAGTTATACAGAGGTATTTTTGTTATTCTCAGGTTTTGAAGCAACTCAGTTTTGAAGGATTTATTTCAAAATGGTTGGGTTTGAGAAGGTGGTAGGATTCCTGTGGAAGTCCTTTGTCCCTGGCCATGTTGTAGAGGCTGACAGAGGAAGTCTGGACTCTGCAGTGTCCTCTGGGACAGAGCATCTCACCTTCGCTCAGAGCTTATGATGTATGATCCTCCATTCCTAGTCACCTCCTTTCTGCCTCCACACTGGGTAAAAAGCAGAATCAGAAAGGAAGAGAAGAAATGGCACTTGGAGACTGCTAGCAAAGGTGCTTTTCTTTCTTTAAATGATTATGGTGTAGTAACTGACAGTTCTAATTTTAGGTAACAAAAATGTGGTAGTTGCATTTGGCATGGTGCTTTTAAGAAAAAAAAATAATTTGTTAGGGAAAAATCCATCAAGAATGGGAATATTTTAAAGGAAACTTTGGAGCGTTTGTCAGAGGAAGTTTTAGTTCGCTATTCCTCATAATTTTCTTAGGTAGATCGCTGCATTTCCCAGCAATGCTAGAAAAATGAAGTGTTACTCTAGATGACAAGCCTGGCTGCACTGGAAGTTGTTTGATCTCATGTGGACTGAATTTCCCATGATGTCACTGCCATCGAATATTCTGGTGTGTTTCTGGTAATCTCTGGAATTCTGGCTCGGGGTAAAATAGTCACGTGTATGATATTTATTGTACACTCATTTATTCTCAATGTTGAGGATGATTGCACTGTCATGTTAATGTCATGCTTTTCCTTTGTAGAGTAATGAGGAAGTATGACAAAAGTGGCAGGCTCCTCTGTAATAATGTTGACCTGTGTGATTGTCTAGAGAAGAACTGCCTGGGCTGCTTCTACCCATGCCCCAAGTGTAACTCCAACAAGTGTGGGCCCGAGTGCCGCTGCAACCGACGGTGGGTTTACGATGCCATCGTCACCGAGTCTGGAGAGGTCATCAGCACGCTGCCATTTAATGTTCCTGACTAGGTGTTCTTGCATATGGAATGATTTGTTTCTTCTTCTTACACATTTAAGTCAACCTCTTTCTCTTGGGTGAATTTTAGGGCTTGGGGGAAATATTGAAAAAAACATACTGAAGACTCATGTTCTGTCAAGCCCCAGAACAATGTAGAATGGGCAATAATTCTGTAACCTTCTTAACTGTGTCAACAAGTTTCAAGTTCCTTAACTTACAACTGAAGAATGTAACAATGGAGGGATCAGCATTTCTCATCAGCACCCTCATCTCTACTCTGCCTTCAAATTAAAACTCTCTTCCCTCTTTGCTGATATCTGAGAAAATGTAGCTTTAAGATTTTCAAAAATCTGTGGCTGAGAGCTTTTCTTACATGGAACATAGAATCTTAAATTTATAATATCTAGTTATCCTTAGAATCTTATACATCACTAGCTGTAAATCAGAATTGCCATTTGGGTTAAAAAAAAACCTGTGACTTTGCACTGTATACCCATAGCGTCATTTTTTATTGTTCATGTTTTAATAACATAAAAATGAAATTTAGTAATACTTGGTAGTATTTTTAATCATTAAAAATTTGTATTGTATTTGTAAAATTGAGAAGTCAGGAATTTAATATCCTAAAAGCCAGGAGTTTACATATTTTTGATTTCAGAAATAGTATTTCAGGATTTTTTTCATAGAGGGGAAACAAGTTATACAAAAACGATTTTCTGTATGTTTGCTAATTGAGTATGTTGATAAGCAATTGACTAGATACGTGATGTGGTCTTTTCAATTCTGATACATTATCAGAGCTATAAAAATTGAATTCAGCTTTCTTTGAATTCATTTTTTTTTATGACAGTCTTTTTTTAACCCTAAGTCGGTGGTTCTCATTCATCCGAATTGCCTGGAAGACTTGTCAAAACATAGATTTTTGTGGCCCCACACTCAGAATCTGGGCCAGAGCTCAATCATCTGTTCCACGTTCCCAGGTGATGTTGATACTGCTGATGTGGGGACCACATTTTGAGAACCACTTCTCTAAATTATTTTAGATACATAATGTAAGGAAGTATTTAAACCTTATTGACTATGATACTGCCACGGCACAAAGCTGGAAGTATTTAAATAAAGTAATGTAATAAAAATTTAAAAGTAAATAAGAGCATTTAAGTTTTAAAATAAATTTGAAATATTATAAATAGAGGGTTTTTTGTTGTTGTTGTTTCTTCTTCTTCTTCTTTTTTTTTTTTTTTGTTAGATGGAGTTTCCCTTTGTCACCCAGGCTGCAGTGCAGTAGCGCAGTCTTGGTTCACTGCAACCCCCGCCTCTGTGACTCAAGCCATTCTCTTGCCTCAGCCTCTCAAGTGGCTGGGATTACAGGCTTGCACCACCACGCCTGGTGAATTTTTGTATTTTTATTAGAGATGGAGTTTCACCATGTTGACCAGGCTGGTCTCAAACTCCTGACCTCAAGTGATCAGCTCGCCTCACCTCCCAAAGTGCTGGGATTAGAGGTGTGAGCAACTGTGACCAGCCTTTTATAAATAGAGTTTTCAGGATTTATTTTTCCTTCATAATCAGTTTTTAACACTCACTTCTGCACAATCTACTTATGCCAGGGAACATTTCTGACAATTCTGGATTTGTTGCTTAACGTATGCTTCAGGACTAAAATAAGCAAAGTCCTAAAAGTAATGGTGTGACTAAGTACACCTGTCCACAGAGCAAGAGAACTTACATTCTTCTGCATCATTCTCCATAGAATTTACTGGGTTTTCCAGATTCCACTTACTTTTACTGAGCATACACTGTGAACTAAACATTGTGTTAACACGGTAATGAATTGCATTACCTTTAACAGTCACAGTCCAGTAAGGAAGACATAAAATCAAATTACTCAACTCACATCCTTTGAAATGCTCACCAGGAATGTGCAGCCCGGAAACCAGTAAAAACAAGCAGGGCCTTTTTCAGTTTATATCTTGTTTTATTTTTGAGAATAATTATTATTTTGTAATTGGCAGACCAAATGCATTTATTACTTCTTCATTTTAAAATCATATAATCTTAGAGCCAACAATAGCATTGTAGCTCATCCATATAGTGAATTAGTCGACAAATACTAACAGAGAGACTGCTCTGTGACAGGCAGCAGGCTAGGTGCAGGGGATCAGGCAGTGAACAAAATCTGCCTGGCGCTTGTCTTCATGGGGTTTGTGGATTAAGGCCAAACTCTTTTTGTTTTTTGTTGTTTTTGTACCTTTGCAACTGAGGGGATTTAGACCCAGTGAGATTACATGACTCAGGTAAGCACACACAGAAGAACTGGCAACCCTGGTGTTTTGAACACTAAGACTAGGTCAGAGTTCTTTCAATGATGACACGTATTTCCTACACTGCACTCATTAAGTGCTTTTAATATAATACACATTCCTAAGACCCATCCCAAACCTCAGGAATCAGAACCTGTAGGAATGAGACCTGGGATTCCATAATTTTAAACAAGCATTGCAGTTAAGTCTCATGATCTGATATATCTGAGAAACACTGCCCTATATCATCAGTTGTCCAATTTTTGTGCTAAAAAATAATCCTAGGCAAATTAGCTTTAAAGCCTCCTTCCTTTCTATCTCTTCTTGTCACTCAGTCTTAAGGATTACATAAAGTAATCTGGTTTAAAATGATCTGGCTTAAAAAGTGTGTTGAAAAATTATGTTGGTACATTTTCCAAGTAAGGCAAAAAATAAAGTAAAAACCTGCATAATTAACTAAGCAGACACCCTAATACTGCTATTATGGAAGCCTAGTACATTTGATGAAGTACAGTTTCAGAAATCAGGTTATTTCTTCTTGATCTAATGCCACTTCAATGTATTTTTTAAAAGTCTCTTGCAATAAATAATTATTACAAAAATAAATGTATGTGAATTGTCCGAAACTTATTTTGCAAGTGTATAATTTTTATTACAAAGTGAATAAAGCTCTAGCTATTTGAACTAAATTCAGATTAACAAGGAATGCAGCTGTACTATCTGATTACATTACCCGAGGAAATTGTCTTGTCAGTGTGATAGGACTTTATTCTGCTCGGCTATCTTTCAATGCTGACAGCATGTCTTCATGAATATGTATAAAATGGAAGGAAACCTATTTTACAAAAGGTTATTTAAATTAAACCAGTACATACCAAAGGATTTAGACAAATTATCCTGTGCCCAATTATGCAAGGATTTTGGACTGGAATGCCATATCACGTCAATTTGTGTGACAACTTTGAGTGTAATTTGTAAGAGTTACAGAATATCTGTACACTGTCTGAAATAATCCTTCTGTACCTCCCCTTCCAGCTACCACCACCCAAGACACAACATCCTGGATCCATTGCAGGTATAGATGTTAGGATGCTAACTCACAGAAAAATCATTTAACGTCTGTTTTTATAAAAGTGAACAATGCCATTTTGGATAGTCTGTGGATGTCATAGACGGTAGTTATGTAATGAAAGCTTTGGACACTTTTAAACATTTACACGTGCAAGGCTTCAGTGTTTGGCCATGCAGGGACATTTGCTACTTAAGGGTAGAGCATGTATTGACATTTACTTTGCGTTAGACATTGTGTGCTTTAGGTTGGTTCATATTATTATATAAAATACTTTTAAAAAAATCCCTGTGTGTCCTCTCTCTTCTACTTTTTCTTTTTTCCTTCATTCTCTGTAACATTCTTTACATGCTCTGGAACATGCTCTACGCTTTCCTGCCACAGACCCTTCAACATGCTCTTTACTCTGCCAAAAATATTCTCCTTTCTGAATGAAACATCATTCTTCTGATGTCTGTAACAGCAGAAGATAGTTTTGAGGTTACTTAGGACAATAGTCTATATATATGATTTAACATACACAGTTTTTCTACTACTTTTTCCTTTTCAGAACCTATATTTTAATCCTGGACTTAGAATATTCTTTTTAATGTTCACAGATTCCTAAAATTCTGTATTTTTCTTCACTCTGTGGAAAGGAAATGACACTCTTATTACTATTCATGTCTAATAAACAATGTATTACTTAAGATGCATATTCAATTTGAAAAATGCTTCTTTTGTGTTCATAATTTGTAGTTTTAACAGATTATTTTTTCCTCAGTATTGTATGGCTGTCTGTATATTATTTTTAAGCTGGCCAAAGCTTAGGTCAGATACAATAAATTCAGCGAGATCAGTGACTGAGTTTGTTTTTCCTTCAATAGTGCAATCAATAGCATAGTGCACTTAATAGATACACTACTTAGTGACCCATTATTCATTTATTCATTCATTTACCAAGCACCTCTTATATGCCAGACACTTTACTAGGTGCTAAGGATACAATGGATAAGGGAAAAAACGCTCAAACATGGTCTCTACTCTTACAGACTTTTACAGAATAGTCATGTGGGGAGAGAGACATAGAATAACTTCATGACACAAATGAGTGTGAAAAGAGTAATGGGTGAGAGGAGTTATTAAGGACATCTTTACCTGGGTGGTCACAGAAGTCTTTCCTAAAGGAGTAATCACAGTTCCAGGGCTTGAAAAGTGAGAAAAAAATCGCAGAGAAGATAGGGGTGGGGGAGAATGTTTTTGGCAGAGTAAAGAGCATGTTGAAGGGTCTATGGCAGGAAAGGGTAGACCATGTTCCAGACACTAGAAGAAGCCTGGGTGGGTGGAGGGGAAAGTATGAGAAGCCTCTGCAGAGCAGAGAGTACTCATATCAGGGGAGGCCTTTTAGGCACATTAAGGAAGTTGAGGCCAAGCGTTGTGGCTCACACCTGTAATCACAGCACTTTGGGAGGCCGAGGTGGGAGGATCTCTTGAGCCCAGAATTTTGAGACCATTCTGGGCAACATAGTGAGATCTTGTCTCTACTAAAAATAAAACTAAAAAATTTACTGGGCCTGGTGGTGCGTGCCTGTAGTCCCAGATACTCGGGAGGCTGAAGTGGGAAGATCGCTTGAGCCCAGGAGGTCAAGGCTGCAGTGAGCCATGTTTGTGCCACTGTAGTCCAGCCTGGGTAACAGAGTGACACCCAAACTGCCAAAATGTTTTCCAGAGTGGCTGTACCCTTTTGTATTCCCACCAGCAATGTATGAGGGATCCACTTATTCCAATCCTCACCAGCAGTTAGTAGTGTTACTATTTTTTATTTTAACCATTTGGATTGGTAATTCGTGATACCTCATTGTGGTCTTACTTTGCATTTCCCTAATGGCTGATACTTTCATGTGTTTATTTGCTATCTGTATGTAATCAGAATGAAATGTTTCTTCATATCTTTTGCCCATTTTCTAACTAGATTATTTGATGTTGTTAATACTGTGTTCTGAGAATTTTTATATATTCTAGCTACAAGTTCTTTGTCAGATACATGTTTGCAAATATTTTTCTCTCTACAGCTTGTTTTCATCCTCCTAATAAGGTCTTTCACAGAGCAATAGTTTTAATTCTAATGAAGTTTAATTTATAAATTTTTGTCTTTTACAGATTGTACTTTTGGTGTTATGTCTAAGAACTCTTATCCAAGC